GCCCACCACGGCCTGGCTCAGCCTCTTCATTTTCCACCAGAGGCGGCGCCTTTTTCCGCCGCCCCAGTCCCAGCGGCATGAGCAGCGAGAAGACGGGGCGTGCCCAGGAGATCTGCAGGACAGAAAACTGGGCTCAGGGCCTGGGCCGTGGCCTCAGGCTGCCTCTCCCCTCCAGGTCCAATGAAATATTTAGAAAACAGACTGGCCTCGATTCAAAATCCAGTCCCAGCACTTACATGCCTGCACAGAAGTAATAACAGCAGCTAGTATCTACCACAACCCCATGCTAACTGCTCTGTGATCTGAATCCTAACACCACATCATGGGGACCATAGTATCCTCCCCACAATGCGGTATGTGATGACGTGGATATGCCAGAATATGTGATCATGCCCATTTAGCAGATGAGAAAACAGTGGCTCACAGAGGTTGTTTCCCTTTATTTTCCTATCGGCTGTACTTATAAGTGCTGTGTGCCAAAAATTTCTGATTTTCCTCCTTCAAAGCATATAGGCAGATGGCACTTACTGACCTCTTTGTGCCTGGGCAAGCATGTGACTAGTTCTGGCCAATGAGTTGTGAGAGGAAGTGACACATTACATTTCTGGGTTGAAGGATTTAATTACTGGCGCAGATGCCTCTAGAGGTCTACTTCTCCTGGTAGGGTGACCAGCCACATCTGATATGGTGGGAGCCCCATCAGGCCTGGCCCTGAGTGACCACGATGAATGGAACTCCCCGCTGAGCTGCAATGGACATGTATCAGGAACAAAAAATAAACCTTTGTTGAGTTTGGCCGCTAAGAGTTTGGGGGATGTTTGTTACTGCAACAAAACCTATCCTAACCAATATACTTTTTTCTTTCCTCTCTCACCACTCTCTTTCAGTTTCTTTCTTTCCCTCTCTGTTTCTCCCTCCCTCCCTTCAAACAAATATGTTTTGGGGACTTACTATATTTCATGCACCTTCCATAAGACAAGCAAAGTCCCACATTTCCTTACCCACAGTAAATAAAGAGACTGTGATGAGTGGGTAATGGATGAAGAAAACAATCTCACACGGATAAATTCTAAGAGTTTACAAACACACACACATATACACATACACATATGTATACATATGTATGTGTATATATATAATATGTGTGTATGTGTTTAAGTGGATACATATACATATGTGTGTGTGTATATGTTTTCAAAAGATTTATGAATCATAATTCAAAGCTGTAATTAGTAACTTCAAAAGAGTTTGCTACAAGATACACCTATGAAGGTGAGAGAAGCGGGGAGAATATAGCCCAGTGGTAGAGTGTGTGCTTAACATGCATGAGGCCCAGGGTTCAATCCCCAGTACCTCCATTAAAAATTAATAAATAAATAAACCTAATTACCTACCCCCCTCAAAACAAAACAAAGCAAAAAGATAGAAAATCTCCATGAATATCTCAAGCATACTATTGAACTCCTGTGCAAAATGTATGCTGATAATATTAAAATAGCTTCTGTTATTTAATGATAATAATAAAAAAGGACAAGCAACAAGGTCCTTGACTAGGGCCACCATGAGCAGTTACACAGGCAGTTCACTGTGCAAAAGCACCAGACTCTGGTGCAGTGATGTGTCTGCTGGGAGGAAGTGCTGCCTTTTTCTGATTTACTCCCAGGTGCTACACAGGCTAGCTGGGGCTCTGTCCACGCTGTCCAGAAGCACACAGTCCAGAGAAGATGCACAGTGAGCAAGCAAATGTGTAAATATCTAATATAATTTCTAAGAGTGTATGAAGACAATAAAATGAAATAACTGTTATAGACAAGGTCAAGGAAGGCCTCTCTGAGGAAGTGAAGCTGAACCTGAGGCCTGAATGACAGGAAGAAGTACCCATAGGTGGATGTGAGGCAAGAACATTTGGGCAGAGGGAATAGCCAATGCAAAGGCCCTGAGGTGGGGAAGTGCTTGACAGGCTTCAGGAATAGCGAGGAGGCCCGTGTGTTTGGATCAGAGAAAGGGGGTAGCAGGAAGAGGTGACAAGCAGATCGTTCAGGGCCCTGTGGGCCAGAAGGAGGACTTGGGCATTTGGTCTGAGTGAGGTGGCAGTCATGGGGGATTCTGAGCAGACTCATAGATCAGCTAGAGATCTGTGGCTGGCGTGGAGTAAGCAACGGGAGAACAGGCAGAGGGCAGGTAAAAGAGGTGACGGTGGTCAACTCCGCAGGGCCTTACAGACTCAGAAAGAGTTCAGATTTCACTGTTAAGTTACACATCCTTAAAAAAAAGATGTTTCACAGGGAACTATACTCAATATCTTGTAGTAACTTGTGGTGAAAAAGAATATGAAAATGAATCTATGTATGTATATGTATGACTGAAGCATTATACTGTACACCAGAGATTGACACAACATTGCAAGCTGACTATACTTTAGTAAAAAAAAAGAATATATATATATATATATATATATATATATATATATATATACACAAAAAAGTAAAAAATACAAC